ACGATTTAACTTAAAATATAGAATAAAGACGATTTAACCTAAAATATAGAATAAACACGATTTAACCTAAAATATAGAATAAAGAACATTTAACCTAAAATATAGAATAAACACGATTTACCCTAAAATATAGAATAAACACGATTTAACTTAAAATATAGAATAAAGAACATTTAACCTAAAATATAAAATAAAGAACATTTAACCTAAAATATTAAATAAAGAACTTTAACTTAAAATATAGAATAGACACGATTTAACTTAAAATATAGAATAAAGACTATTTAACCTAAAATATAGAATAAAGAAGATTTAACCTAAAATATAGAATAAAGAACATTTAACCTGATTTACAGTAAAAAAAAACACCTCCTCAAACATGAAAACTTCATCACATCAATAGATAAGTACTAACAAGTTCTAATAGAATAACTACCTATTTCAGCATCTTGTTCAGATATTATTTTTCATTTAGAGATAAAGTTTGTCTCCATCTTTTCTTTTCACCCCCAAAAACAGATGATGAAAACCTCATCACACCAATGGATAAGTACATTACACATTTCAAATAGAATAATAGAATAAATCATTTTTTCAGCCTCTTGTTCGGATAATATTGTTCATTTAGAGATAACGTTTCTCTTTTCGCCCCCAAAAACAGATGTAACATTCAACACCATCTGGAAGTTGTTTGTTCTTTTTGTATCTGGTCCTTCATAGATAAACTGGACTGAGAGTAAATATTAAATAAAAGATAACTGCTTACTATTTTACTCTCATAGAAGTTGCGGCAGTCCAGAAGGACGGTGTCTGAATCCCCATTAGCCAAAACAGCCTCCACCTCTCTGTGGAACTCTTCTGGCTCCAGATGAACTCCTGATAAAGAACAGACACATAAAGAACAGAATATCTTAAATGTTTATGTTTATGTTTATGCATTTAGCAGACGCTTTTATCCAAAGCGACTTACAGAGTAAAAACCACACAAAGAAGACACACCAGAAGAAACGAAGCCATAGCTATAAATCATATTCACGAATTTCCCTTTGGGAATCAATAAAGTATCAAAAGTCACGTAATAAAATGAAATCCAGCATAAATATTGTTTTCTTACATTTTTTTTTAAAGGATTCATTAGTGAATAAGAACTTGGTGAAATACTTTTCAGGCCTATCTATCTATCTATCTATCTATCTATCTATCTATCTATCTATCTATCTATCTATCTATCTATCATCCATCCATCCATCCATCCATCCTCCTATCCATCCATCATCCATCCATCCATCTATTATCCATCCATCCATC